AAGTTTAGCTTCTCATGCTGCTTCACTTTCCATTGTTAACTCTATGTATTCGAAATTCAATACCACGTGATCACTAGTGCCTTGGGGCCTTTCGTGTGTGATATCCCATATGTCTGATTTGCTCAAGGGGAATACGAGGTCCAGCCTTGCTGGTTCATTGTCGCTTCTCTCTCTGTTTGTGTCCCTAACATGTTGGTACATGAAGTTGGTATATGTGTGTATGTACTCACCTACTCGCCTATATACTCACCCATATGTGCTTGCAGGGGTCGATTCACAGCTCCTGGTTCCGCCTCTACACTGGTCAATACTAAGTCACTCTCTCCCTGCTCCATGAGCTTTATCATACCTCTTGTTAAAGCTATGTATGGAATTTGCTTCCACTACTTCAATCTCCGGATTATTCCACTTCCTGACAACTCTAAGGCAAAAGAAATATTTCCTAACATCCCTATGACTCATCTGGGTTTTCAATTGTTCCTGTAACTCTTCTTAGAAATAGACAATTCCTTTCAGTATTTTATATGTCGTCATGATGTCCTCCCTATCCCTTGTATCCTATAGTGTCATCATGTTGAGTTCCCTAATCTCTCCTCGTAAGACACTTCTCAGTACCGGGGCTAATCTTGTTGCAAACTTTTCCACTTTATCCAATTTCTTGACGTGTTTGACTAAGTATGGGTTTCACACTGGTGCTGCATACTCTAGTATAGGCCTGACGTACACTGTGTACAATGTAGTATATGATTCCTTATTCAGATGTCGAAATGCTAATCTCAGGTTTGCCAAGCTCCCATGTGCTGCAGCAATTATATGGCTGATGTGTGCCTCAGGGGACATGTTCGTTATCATGCTTACCCCAAGATCCTTTTCTTTAAGTGACGTATGCAGCATCTGATCCCCTAACCTGCACTCCAACTTCGGTTTTCTTTGTCCTTCCCCAATCTTCATGACTTCGCACTTACTGGGGTTAAACTCCAGGAGCCATTTGTCAGACCAGACTTGTAGTCTGTCCAGATCCCTTTGTAACCTTAGCTGATCCTCGGCCTCTTGTATTCTCCTCATCAGCTTAATATCATCAGCAAACAGCGACACTTCTGAATCTATTCCTTCCACCATGTCATTCACGTATAGAAGAAACAGCACTGGACCTAGGACTGACCCTTGTAGAACCCCACTCGACACATGTACCCACTCTGACATTTCATCACATACCAACACTCGTTGTTTCCTTCCTGTCAGGTATTCACTGATCCATTGTTGTACTTTCCCTACTATTGCTGCCTGCTCTAATTTTTGTACCAGTCTCTTGTGGGGTACAGTGTCAAGTCTTCTTGCAGTCTAAAAAGATGCAATATACCCATCCCTCTCTCTCTCTCCTGTCTTACTTCTGTTATCTTATCGCAGAACTCATGTAGATTATTTGAGACACAGGATTTTCCATCTCTGAAGCCGTGCTAATTGTCATATATGAGCCCAATCATTTCAATGTGCTTCACCACTCTTCTCCTGATCATCTATTCCATGACTACATACTGTACTAGTCCATGATACTGGTCTGTATTTCAACGCTGCCTTAAAAATTGGAACTACATTTGCAGTCTTCCACTCAGGCAATTGCCCAATTTCGATAGATTTACTGAAGATTGTTGCTAGCAGCACACACAGTTCCTCTGGTTCCTCTCTCAGGATCCATGGAGATATGTTATCTGGGCTCACAACCTTAGAGGTATCTAGTTCACCTAGCAGTTTCTTCACCTACTCCTTGGTTACGTGTACTGTATCCAGCACCTGCTGGTGCACCCTACCTCCATTGTTTGCTGGAAGCATTTCTGCCTCTATTGTGAATACTCCTCTAAATATTGTGTTAAGTTCCTCACATACTTCCTGGTAACTCTTTGTGAGCTCCCCTCCTTTCCTCAGCCTAATTAATCGGTGTTTGACTGTTGTTTTTCTCCTAATGTGATTGTATAACAACTTAGGTTGAGATTTGGCTTTTGATGCTATGTCGTTCTCATATTGCCTCTGGGTCTCTCTCCATATCCCTACATATTCTTTTCTGGTTCTTCTGCTCATCTCCTTGTTTGACCTCAACTCCTTGGCTTTGGCCAAGGAGTTAAACCAGTTAAACCATGGGCTTACTGTGGTCTTACTATTTTTTCTGTTACCCTTTGGTATGAACTTCTCCTCTGCCTCCCTGCACTTAGATGTTATTAGTTCCCTCATTTCATTTACTATCTTTTCCTCTACATACCTTTCCCATTCCACTTCATGCATGAATCTTTTCATGCCTATGTAGTCCCCTTTCTTGAAGTTTGGCTTCTATCGTCCTTCTCGTGCTGTTGCATTTTCCACTGTTAACTCTACAAGGTATTCAAAACTCAGGACATCGTGATCACTATCCCCACGGGAGATCCAGCCTTGCTGTAACATCCTCTCCTCTGGTTCTCTCTCTCTCTCTCTCTTCTCTCTCTCTCTCTCTCTCTCTCTCTCTCTCTCTCTCTTTCTCTCTCTCTGGTTGTATCCCTAACATGTTGGTGTATGAGATTCTCCAGTACTGTCTCCAACATCTGAGCCCTCCACATTTCTAGTTCCACATGTGGCTTTAGATTTTCCAAGTCAATCTCTTTATGATTGAAATCCCCCATTATGAGTAATATTGTCTTACCCACATGAACCCTCCTGGCCACTTCAGCTAATGTATCCTCCATTGCTCTATTGTTCTCATCATACTCTTGTCTTGGCCTCCTGCTTTGGGTTATACATCACTGCTATCATCATCTTCAGGACCCAATCTAAAGTGTTCCTACAATGAAGTCATCTGTTTCCCCTCTGTCCATTCCTCCCATATTCTCAAAACTCCAATAGTTTTTGATGAGCAGTGCCACTCCTCACCATTCTGTGTTTTCTCTCCCTTTCCTCAGGATCTGATATCCAGTTGGAAACATTGCATCTTTTTTCATCCCTGTAAGTTTTGTCTTTGTTATTGTTATGACGTCAGGGGATGCAGCAATGATTCGCTCTTGCCACTCTTTACTCTTATTTGTTATTCCATCTGCATTGGTGTACCATACCTTCAGCTTCCTTTCCAGTACTGTATTTTGGGAGGTGGAAGAGGGTGGTGCAGGCTGGGGGGTGTAGGAGGCAGGGTTTAATATTGGGGGAGGCTGCTGTGATTGTGAAGTTAGTGCTTGGGGGGGTGGTGGCTATGAAGTATGGTTTGTTTCTGGTTATTGTGTATGGTTGATATGGGGTGACAGGGCTTGAGGGGTTCCTGCGTTTGATGTTCCTATGGAAGCTGAGCTTTCCTGTCTGTCTTTGCCTGTCCTGTTTCTCTTTCCTTCCACTGACTTCGTCTTACTCTCACTCTCATTTGTTCCTTACTTTTGGTGTTCTGTCTTGACTGAGGTACACTTGTTAATATTCTTGAGATTCCTTTAGCAGTGGCTTTTGTTATAGTATCCTCTTCCATGCCACTTCTGTCTTGGATGTCAGTTTGACTGGTTGAATTTTTCCCACTAATACCCCCATAGTCTTTGAAAATTTTCTACCTGGACATGTCATTCTCTCCTGTAATTGAAATGATGCTCATTTCAATAACATGATCCATTTTCTTCTTAAGCCTTTCTACCCATAATTTTCGGATCAGCCATCCTCAGTTCCCTTGCCTCTATGTCCTACCTTTTGAGATCCCATTTTTTTCCCTATTAGGATGATCTACACCCTTCAGTTTTGCGTAAAATTATGTGGGTTTGTGTGTGTGTGTGTGTGTGTGTGTGTGTGTGTGTGTGTGTGTGTGCGTGTGTGTGTGTGTGTGTGTGTGTGCGTGTGTGTGTGTGTGTGTGTGTGTGTACACTCACCCAATTGTGGTTGCATGGGCCAAGCCATAGCTCCTGGCCCCATCTCTTTGCTGGTCACCACTTGGTCCACTTTCTTCCTGCTCCATATATAGATCCTGCCTCCACAACAACACTCTCCAGATTGTTCCACTTCCTGACAACAGTATGACTGAAAAAGTACTTCCTAACGTCCCTGTGACTCATCTAAGATTTCTTATTCAAGCTGTGACATCTTGTTGCTCTGTCCCATCTTTAAAACTTTCTGTCCCAATCCTCCTTGTCAAGTTCTCTAAGTATTTTATATGTCGTTATCATGTCACCCGTATCCCTCGTATCCTGCAGCGTTGTTAGGTTGAGTTCCCTTAACCTCTCCTCGTAGGAAAAACCCATAGTCCCGAAAGTAGTCTTCATATAAACCTTATACATTATATACATTGTGTCACAAGATCATTTAATTCCAACTGAGCTGCTGTTCAGTATCTAGTAGGACACTAAATTATTGCTGTAGCTGCTTGGAGAAATTTGTCTGACTCACATTTTTAGAGCACAGGAACCATTTCTGAAGGTTTGAAGTATAGTACATTCACTGTGAGTGATGGGTATGGTTATTATATGCCAGAGTCTTTTGAATTAGGATGTCTGTGCTCTTCTGGCAAGACTGCTGTTAAACGAGTTATTGTTATTTGTTTCTGTATTTTGAGGAGGTCACTCTGCCATAGTGGGTCACTCTGCAATGGTGGGTCACGGCCACTTTGTTGAAAAATAATAAGAAACGAAAATTGGAAAGTGTAGTGTAAATAATATCATTATCTATGCTCATAAACTTTATATTACTGTAACAAATAAAAAACTATGTACCAAACTTTGCATTAAAAACCATCATTCCGTATTTGGACAAATGTAATGAATTTTTAAATGTTGCGGGACTGTAATATCTACTAAGTTTTCATAATAAGATTTACTTATCCCTTATTTTATGATTTGTTTTGCATTTTTTGTTTTTCATATAAATGCATCACCAGCAACGACTATTTACTTATTAAAGTAGCAACGATTTTTTTTACAGAATATTCAGGAAAGGCAAAAGTAAATATTTACTAGGAACTATAAACTAATAAAAAGTATTATAGGACACAAGGTTTTATCAATAATCTTTTATACTTACCAGAAGAAAAACACGGTGAAGGATCTTATCCTCATAACAGGGCTTCTCAGAAGGTCAATAACAGTCTTCTTGATCTGTGTTTCCTGTCTAGTTTCATTCACAAGTGCAATATTACTGTTGGTTACTGACACTGTTCCATCAACAGGACGAGACTGTCAGGAAAAATAACAAATGAACGATTAATTTAAATTGATTCTCTAACTCAAGAGGTGATTCATAATCAAAATAAACAATATACTTAGGAGACTGAAATGAGTGACATTTTCAGTCTGACTTAGGCAATAGTCAGTCTCATAATTGCAGGAAATTTGTTTCATTACTTAATGTACATTTCAGTGCGAATTTACCTAAAATTCATTCCTAATTTTCAGCTAAAATGAAATATATCTTAAAGGCAAGTTACCTGGACGTTATGAGCGTCCATCAGATGTCTTGGTACCTCAACATTATTGACTCGAGCAACTCTCTGTATAATGTTCTTGGCTTCATCATAACGACCCTCAGCGACCAACCATCGTACACTCTCTGGCATTAACCTGAAGTAAAACTATATTTTAATTAAAAACAAAACGAATCAGATGATAACATATTTTTTTTATTATTTTTGAAGTACTAAACCTACACACACACACACACATACACACACACGCCACACACACACACACACACACACACACACACACACACACACACACACACACACACACACACACACATAAACATACGCACACACACACACACACACACACACACACACACACACACACACACACACACACATACACACACACGCACGCACACACACACACACACAAACGTATGCACACACACACACACACACACACACACACACACACACACACACACACACACACACACACACACACACACACACACACACACTCACACACACACACACACAAACGTAGTGACAACGTCAGTTAACAATCCTACGAGTGATAACCAAAGTTATTAGTTAAAAAAAAGTCGAGAGGAAGCCTGAAATCATTAATATTTCAAAGTGCCAAACCGTTAGGGGCCTAGTAGGCGCTGTTGCCACACAGATTCAAATATACAAAGATCAAAGTGAGTGTGGAAGCGGGTGTTCAAGAATTATGAGGCATTGGTTAACAAGTGAAATATGAGGCACCATACAGTGAGAGTGAAAAAGTTAATAAGCAAAAGGAGAAAAAAAATAAAATATACAACAAGGGAAGGTGGAAGTAGGCCTGCTGAAGTAGTGATGGCACAACAGTTGTATGTATTATACATATAAAGTGTAACACCGAATGTGAAGCGTATTCTGTCATAAGTGAAAAGTGAAATCACTTGAGGGAAGTGGGGATGTATGAGCATATGTGGCTACAAACATCATGGGTAAAGGATTTTCAAAATAGTGATAGAAGGCCTATGTACGACGACTACATCATCAGCATCTGGCAACTTGTCATTGCACCACTGCCAGCGCAAGTATTGCTCACCTATTGTGGTTGCATGTTGTTGGGTTCTGGATTCTGGTCTTGCATCACTGTTAGATACTGGTCACTCACTCCTGCAAGCTATTACCAGAATTAGAGTAGAAATAGCATAGACGAGAGTACAAGGAGTAAAGCGGTAGCAAGACAAGCTAAATTTTACAACCTAGCTACTTTCCGTATTTTATAAGTAGAATCGATAAGTGTTCAAAATACTATTGGTAAGCTTTAGAATTACTGGTATTACTACCGGTATTTATTAGCAGTATGAATACTTAGAAGTGGGGGCACACACACACATACACATACACACACACACACATGCACAGGAACAAGCAAAACTAAAAGCTGTAGTACACACGCACACACACACACACAGGATTTCACACCTTCCTGTGAACTGACCCTCTAACCCTCCCTCCCTCTATCTCTCTCCCTCTCTCACTACCTATCTCTCTACCTATCTCTCTCTACCTATCTCTCTCTTTACCTATCTCTCTCTCTCTCTACCTATCTTTCTCTCTACCTATCTCTCTCCCTCTCCCATCACTCCCCTCTCCCATCTCTCCCCTCTAACATCTCTTCCCTCTAACAACTCCCTCCCTCTAACATCTCTCCCCCTCTAACATCTCTCTCCTCTCATTATCTCTCCCCTTTCCCTTTTCCCATCTCTCTCCCCTCCTCCCCTCCCTCTCCCCCTATCCTCCCCCCTCTTTCTCTTCAATCTCCCCCTCTCTCCCCCCTTCTCCCCCATCTCTCCCCCTCTCTCTCCCCCTCTCTCTCCCCCTCTCTCTCCCCTCTGCCCCCCTCTCTCCCTCCCCTTTCTCCTCTCTCTCTCTCTCTCTCTCTCTCTCTCTCTCTCTCTCTCTCTCTCTCTCTCTCTCTCTCTCTCTCTCTCTCTCTCTCTCTCTCACTCTCTCCCCCTTTCCCTTCTCACTCTCCCCCTCTCTCTCTCTCCTTCTACCTTTCCCTTCTCTCTCAAAAAAAAAAAAATGGTGGGTACTGGCAGGAATCAGGGATCAGATGAGAATGGTTCTGGTAGGGAGGAGTGGATAGAGGAGCAGTGGAAAAGGATGGAACAAGAGTGGAAGAGAAAATTAGGAGAGCTTTCTGAAAAAGTGGAGAAAGAGCTCTCTCTGAAATTGGAAAAGAGGTTTGAGAAGGAGACGAAGAATTGGGAGGCACAAGTCGAAACTGCAGTAGCCAGGATAAGGGTCCTAGAAGATAAGGTAAACAGGCTGAAGCAAGTTACAGGGGCAGTGACCAGAGAAGATACTGCATATGAAGCTGAGAGGTCGAACAGGAAGGAAGGAGATGTGAATTATGCTAAGGTCATATCAGCTTGCCAAGAAGGGCCAAGGAGCGAAAGGAAAGCACAGCTGGGTGCAGATGGAGAGGGTGATAGGTCGAATGCTGAGGCACAACCATGCTACCAAGAGCCACTGGAAAAATCAATGGAGAAAATGACCACATTCAGACAGGATCAAGAGTCACAGATGGATAGGCAATGGGAGGAAGAAAGGGCAAAATCAGTGTTTATCCATGGGTTTCAGGAGAGAGAGGAAAGAACACACATTGAAAGACGGCAGGAGGAAAGAAAGGAGATTGAGAAAATCATCAAATAGGTGAAGAAGACATGACCGAGATTGTAAATTTTCAGAGAATAGGGGGGTACATGAAGGGGAGAAAACGGCTGATCAAGATGATTCTCAGGACAGAAACAGTGCAGAACAGGATCCTCCAAGAGAAACCATGGTTGAAATACTCGGAAAAGTACAAGAGGGTGTTCCTAGACAGAAACAGAACACAAACAGAACGACAGCAGCTGAGGGAGAGGACAAAAAAGCGAAAGGAGCTAGGAAAGGAGACAAGGATGGAACCAGCAGAGGTCAGTCAGAGCAGAACAGAGCAGCAAGGGCAAGCACACACACAACTATCCTCAGAACCCCACAACCTATCACACCATCCCAACACAAAGTACAATCCATACCCACAGCTTCCACCCAACACCCAGATATAGAATCCCACAGTATGCTACCAGGTCTCCCACCCTTACAGGCCCCCCAAACCACAGTGTTGGAAAGGAAACTGAAGGTATTGTACACAAACACTGATTGAATAACAAACAAGTGGGAGGAGTGGCACGAAAGAGTCAAAGAGGCATCACCGGACATCATAGCTCTCACAGAAACCAAGCTTACAGGTATGATAACAGATGATCAAAAACTGATAGAATTTTGAAGAGTGGAGAGAGGAGACAGCGGAGAAGAAAGTAATTACATAACGGGAATGCTTCACTCTGGAGGTCCCAAGGTGGTAATAGCAGTGATGTATAACCCACCACAGAACAGCAGGAGGCCAAGTAGTATGACGAGAGCAATTGAGTGATAGTTGACACATTGCCTACAGTGGCCAGAAGAGCTCATGCACGCAGGGCAAAGCTCCTGATCATGGGTGACTTTAACCACAAGGAGATCGATTGGGAGAACTTGGAGCCACATACGGGCCAAGATACATGGAGGGCTAAGATGATGGAGGTGGTACTGGAAAACTTCATGTACCAACACGTAAGGGACACTACAAGAGAGAGAGAGGAGAGGAGGAACCAGCAAGACTGGACTCAGTATTCACCTTGAGTAGTGCAGATAATGAGGACGTCACATGTGAAAGACCCCTTGGGGCCAGCGATCATGTGGTTTTAAGCTTCGAATACACAGTAGAGCTACAAATGAAGGGGGAAGCAGGAAGGCCAGGACGAATGAAGTCAAACTACAAGAAAGGGGACTACATGGGAATGAGGAACTTCCTGAACGGGGTTCAGTGGGACAGAGAACTGGCAGCGAAGATGATGGAATATGTAGCAACAATGTGCAAGGAGGCTGAGAAGAGGTTTGTACCCAAGGGTAACAGGAATAATAAAAAAGCCAGGATATTACAACCCAGGATTCCAAATGGCCTGTTATCCCGGGTGTAATGGGAGCAAAATAAACACAGCAGAAAAAGTTTAGACTTATATTATCCTTCACCAATTTAGAACAGCAATATGAACACTATGTACAGTGATAAGTATAGTGCACTCCACGGTAAGCAAGGCAGAAATAGAAGCCACAAGATAGCAGACGGTGCTTCAACCAGCTCTAGAATGGGAATGACAAGGGCAGACAGGAGAGCGGTACCCACATAACCTCTGTGATTGCCAAAACTATCTTCTTATTGGCTAGAACCTGGGCACTAGTTGAACGACGGGGCCCCATCATCAACTCTTAGCAACCTGGTTCGCTGGTTGGGGGAGATAGCCTGTAATTGAGGGTGTGTACATGCGCCGAATAAAGGTTCTGTACTCTTTGCATGCCACACAGGATGAGCCCATGGTTCACCCAAAGGTGCAGGGAGGCAAAAAACAAGTGTGCTAGGGAATGGAAGAAATATAGAAGGCAAAGGATCCAGGAGAATAAAGAGAGCAGTCATAGAGTCAGAAACGAATATGCACAGGAAAGTAGGGAGGCCCAACGACAATATGAAAACGACATAGCAGCGAAGCTAAATCTGACCCGAAACTGTTATACAGCCACATCAGGAGGAAAACAACAGTCAAGAACCAGGTAATCAGGCTAAGGAAGGAAGAAGGAGAGACAACAAGAAATGACCGTGAAGTATGTGAAGAACTCAACAAGAGATTCAAAGAAGTGCTCACAGAGGAGACAGAAGAGGCTCCAGAAAGACGGAGAGATGGGGCACACCACCAAGTGCTGGACACAATACACACAACCGAGGAAGAAGTGAAGACGCTTCTGAGTGAGCTAGATAACTCAAAGGGAATGGGGCCAGATAACATCTCCCCATGGGTCCTGAGAGAGGAAACAGAGGCGTATGTATATCCCTAACAACAATATTCAATACATCTATCGAAACAGGGAGATTGCCTAGGCATGGAAGACAGCAAATGTAGTCCCAATCTTTAAAAAAGGAGACAGGCATGAAGCACCACTAAAGAGTGGTGGAACACCTAGAAAGGAATGAGCTCATCAACAGCAGCCAACATGATTTCAGGGACGGGAAAT